CGAACTCACTGTGCCAACGTTAATTTAATCCTAGCTCCAAATCACTTTTTTTCCTCCTAAAATGCACAAAGTTAACTGTGGTAGTAAGAAACCATAGAATCCTAAATTACTACCACATTGGGCTGGAGCAATAGCACAGCGGGTAGGGCGTTTGCTTTGCATGCGGCCAACCTGGGCTCAATTTCTCCGCCCCTCCCGGAGAGTCTGGCAAGCCACCGAGAGTATCTTGCCCGCATGGCAAAGCCTGGCAAGGTCCCCGTGATGTATTCGATGCCAAAAACTGTAACAACAAGTCTCCCAATTTGTTGTGAGATGTTACTGGTGCCCATTCGAGCAAATCTATGAACAAAGGGAGGACAGTGCTACAGTGCTACTACCACATTAGTGGCAGGCTCTGATATCAAAAGCCTTCCTGTGACCCTCACAAAAATCTAACAGGTATTCAGTAACAACAAAATTGTTCGGGACAACTTTCAAAGGGGAGGAAGAAAGAAACACTAAGCTGGTTCCCCCTGAAGCACCCTGGTGGTGGAGGTGGGTGGGGTGGGGCTAGGGGAGCCTGAGTGGTGACTTAGACTCACTCCCTGACAGCGCCAGAGGAAATGGGCAAGCAGCACAGAACCCCACCCTGCAGATTGAGTGGAGACACATCCTGGAAGGCTCAGCCAGTGCTAACCAGCTCGAAACCTCTCAGACAAGGCCTTGAGAGAGAGCATGTTGAGGATGTTTAATGGGCTCAAAGAAACAATGGCGCAGGGAGTCAATAAAGCAAAATTACGAAAGCAGAAAGGAGAAAACTACAATCAGGAGTGACAGAACTGGGGCTGGAGCCATAGTACAGTGGGTAGGGCACTTGCCTTGCATGCAGCGGAACAGGGTTTGATTCCCGACATCCCATAGGATCGGCTGAGCACTGCTAGGAGTAACTCACGAGTGCAGACCCAGGAGTAACTCACGAGGAACTCCTGAGATCACTCGGTGTGGCTCCCAAAACCAAAACCAAAACAAACAATAGAAGGAAGTGAAGGAACTAAAGGATTTGGTAAGTGAAATAAAATAATTCAATAGAAGGCGTTGGCAGCAAACTTAAGAGCAGTGAGTATAAAATCATAGGAAACCTCTACAAATCAAAGAAGACAGGAGTAGATCTCAAAATAAACAAACAGCATGAAAATCATCAGAATATCCAAGGAATGGGAAAGCGATTTCGATGAAGAACCATTAGTCAAAGATATCACAGCTGAGCCTGCCCACACGGCAGAGTCTGGCAAACTCCCCGTGGCGTACCCAATATGCCAAATACCAGTAACAATGATGGGTCTCATTCTCCTAAAGAGCCTTGAATATAATCTCAGGGCTAGGATGAAGGAGACATTACTGGGGCCTGCTCGAGGCAATCGATCACTGCTGAGAAATTCCCAGAGTTGAGGAGTGCAAACACTCATATTTAAGAGGCCCAAAGGATACCAGCCAAAAGAGAACCATATAAAACTATTTAGAGTCACATCACGATCAGAATGTAAGAAGCCAAAGGAAATGAGAGAATGTTGAAAGCAGCAAGACAAAAAATTACAAAGATGCTTCCTTAATAGTCACAGCAGATTTACCAAGTGAGACCCTACAGGCTGGAAAAAAATTGTATGATATAGTTGAGAAAAAAAAACTTGGCAAGATATAGTTAAACAAACAAACAAACAAAAAAAAAAAACCCACCTCAATGAAATGACTACTACAACAAGAATAATCTGTCCAGACTTGAAGGAACAATACAGAGCTTCATGGATAAGCAAACGGTCAGGAACGTCACAGCCTTGAAACAAACTTTGCAAAAAGCAATGAAGGGTCATCTTTAAGACAAGATGAATTTCGTGAACATACTTAACTTCTACTGAAAGAAGGCAAAAAACCCCTTCATGTCATTAATCTCACTCAATGTCAATGGCCTAAATGCACCAATCCAGAGACACAGAGTGGCAGGGTAGATCAGAGAAATAAAACCAACTTTCTGTTGCCTGCAAGACATACATTTGAATAGTCAAGACAAACCCAGATTCAAAGTTAAAAGCTGGAAAACAGTATTTCAAGCAAACAACTCTCTTAAAAAGGCTGGGCTAGCCATACTTATATCAAACAACACCAACTTAAAGTGACAGATATGATAACTTCTTAATGATCAAGGGATATGTACATCAGGAAGATCTCACACTCCCGAATACTTATGCACCTATAGAGGGACCATCAAAATATTTTAACCAGAAGGAAAAACACAACATTGACAATAACACAATAATAGTTGGAGAATTTCAAAACTTCTTTCTCACCCCTAAATAGATCAACCAGACAAAAACTCAAGAAAACGTTGGCCTTAAGGAAATAAGTGAAATAGATGAACTTTGCAAATACATTAAGACTCTTCATTCCCCCAAAAGTTAAATACACATTCTTCTCCAGTGCACACGGGACATTTTCCAAGATAAACCACTCATTGGGTCATAAAACATACCTCCATAAAATCAAGAGGAAAGAACTGTAACAACTATCCCCTAAGGCCATGAAACAATGAAGATGGAAGTAAACACACACACACACACACACACACACACACACACACACACACACGAAAAACTCAAACACTCAGAAATTAGCTCAATACTGAACAAACATGGGTCAAAGAGGATATGGGAGAGGAAATCAAGATTCCCAGAAACAAATGAGAATGAAGATTAAGATAAGAGTTACCAGAACAGATGGGACATAACAAAAGCAATGTTAAGAGTAAAGTTCATAGCAATTCAAGTTGTTCATTATGAAGAAAGAAATGGCCCACATAAATAACCTAACCACACAGCTTGAGCAGATAGGGGGATGGGGGGGGGAAGGAAATTAAAGCAAGCAGAAGGAAGGAAACAATACAATTTAGAGCTTACATTAATTAAGTGGAAATTAAAAACACAATCCAAAAGATCAACAGAACCAGGAGCTGGTTCTTTGGAAAAAATTAACACAATTGAAAAACTATTAGCAAGACTCACTAAGAAAGAGAGAAATCCCTAGTAAACCAAATGAGAAACAGAAGGAGAGATATGCCATGACAGATAACACAAACTCGAGGATCCTCAGGCGTTACTTTGAAAATGTTTATGCTAGGGAAAGGGAGAAGCTAGTAGAAAGGCTACATTTTTGGATTCCTGTAACCTCCCAAGGTTGAACCAAGAAGAAACAGAGCTCCTGTAGAGAAAATTACTACAAAGAAAATTGAAACAGTAATAAAAAATCTCACCCAATTGGAAAGTGTAAGTCCAGATGGTTTCACTAGTGAGTTCTTTCAAAACTTTAAAAAAGAACCTACTGCCAATGATTTTCATGCTTTCAGGAAATTGAAGAAAACTAGCTTCTATGAGGCAAACATTACCTTGGTACCTCAAGTAGACAGACATCACAAAAAAGGAAAACTATAGACCTATCTACCTGATGAGCACAGATGCAAAGAACCTCAACGAATATTAATAAAACGAATCCAACAATACATCAAAAGATCATTTCCCACAAGAAAGCAGGATCCATGCCGAAGATGCAAGGATGGTTTTATAAACAGAAGTTAATCAAAGTGATACACCATATTAGTACAAGGAAAAATAAAATCATATTATCATATCAATAGACAAAGAAAGCATTCAACAAGATCCAACACCCATGCATGACTAAAAACTCCCAATAAAATGGGAATTGAAGAAACGTAACATAGATAAAACCATTTACCACAAGCCCACAGCAAACACTGTGCTCAGTGGTGAAAAACTGAAAGCTTCCCTCAAGGATCTGGCACAAGGTGCCCATTCTCAACACTACTACTGGATATAGTACGGAAGTCTTTTAGCAATTACACAAGAAAGAGATGTAAAAGGCACTCAGACAGGAAAACAATTCAAACTCTATATGTGGACAACATGTTACTATATCTTGAAAATCTTAAAGACTCTACAAAGACGCTCTAGAGGAACAGGTATGTCCTAAAATGTGGTAGGCTACAAAATCAACATGCAGAAATCCATGCTTTTTCAATATGCAAGTAATGAATGGAAGGGAGAGAATTTATCTTTAAATTCCATTCATAATTTTGCCTCAGAAAATCAAGTATCTGGGTATCAGCTTAAGGAATAAGTAAAAAACTTACGCCAAATACATTTATAAAAATTTTTTAAAAAACAATAAATCACTACTAAAACAGAAGAGGATGTAAAGAAATAGAAACACATTCCCTGTTCATGGATTGGAAAAAAAAACACAACATTGTCAAAATATTTTTTTTTTCCTTTTTGGGTCACACCCAGCATTGCACAGGGGTCACTCCTGGCTCGTGCACTCAGAAATCACTTCTGGCGGTGCTCGGGGAACCATATGGGATGCTGGGAATCGAACCTGGGTTGGCTGAGTGCAAGGCAAATGCCCTACCCACTGTGCTATCACTCCAGTTCCCCAAAATGATATTCTTGTCCAATGTTTTATGCACATTCAAGGCAGTCCCTAGAAAAATATCCATAACATTTTTAAAGACGCAGATCAAGCACTCTTGAAATTCCTACAGAAACTAAAGCCATCCACTAGCCAAAGCAACTCTAAGAAAAAGACAGGAGGTTGCCTCTTTCTCTAACTCCAAACTGTATTATAAAGCAGTAATAACCAAAACAGCATGGTACAGGGGAGGAAGGGGGAAATTAGGATGGAGTGGATACTGGGAACGATGGTGGAGGAAAGTGAACACTCTGGAAAACAGGGAGGGGCTAGATTGCGCTATGAATGAAACACTATCATCAAAAGTGCTGTAAACCATGGTGTGTAAAATTTGAATAAGAGGGAGAATAGTGGATGGTCTCACTCATCTGTAGTACATAAATAATATCATGGAGTATCTAAAGATTTCACTATATAGTTCTTATAATTATAAAAATTAAATCCTGAAGCAGAATTTAAAACGAGTTAAGTTGAAAATCACAGCACACCTGTACAAGTCTGCTTCTGGCTGCTGGCATTCGATCACAGCTAAGAGAGAGTCCAAATTGGCAACTGTTTGTAATACTGCTGTTTCTGGAACTGCCACATGTGTCTGAGAACATAAAAAAAAGGATTAAATTGCAGTTTCAAGGTCCAACCCAAGAAACTATTTCAAATGTCTTTTACAGATAAAAATCCTGGCATGCTGTACTTGGGATCACTCAGCTTAAGAGTGTTACTGGAGGAGGAAGAAGAAAGTAAAGGTCAATGAACGATACAGCCCATGGGAACCACTTGCTTGTAAAATTTTTTTTTGTTACAGTTATTGCTACTCAAAATTGACTAGATCTGAAAACTGAAACATGTGTCCCCTCTAAATGAGTATTAAGATATTAAAATGTCCTGTTTTTCTTTAAAAATTTTTTTCTTTATATTTCCTTAATTGAAATAGCTAAATCATAAGAAATCATAAGAAACAGGCTGGAGCGATAGCACAGCGGTAGGGCGTTTGCCTTGCACGCAGCCAACATGGCCGACCCAAGTTCGATTCCTCCGCCCCTCTCGGAGAGCCCGGCAAGCTACCGAGAGTATCTCGCCCACAGGGCAGAGCCTGGCAAGCTCCCCATGACGTATTCGATATGCCAGACACAGTAACGACAAAGTCTCCAATGGAGACGTTACTGGGCCCACTTGAGCAAATCGATGATCAACGGGAGGACCTTACTTTACTTTACTTTCCTTAATTGAAATAGCTAAATCATAAGAAACTACCCTTGTGTTAGTTATTAAACCTCTATTTCTTTAAATATAAAAATTACCATTTCTTAAGAAACAAAACAAAACTGATTTTTAAGTTTTTGTTCACCAAAAGCTATCACTAAAATATATATATATATATATACACACACAAACCTTAAGGTTAGTTTCTCCATCCAAACTGGCAGTTGTAACATGGCATGAACCATCAAGTCGATCTGAGGACAAAAGCACCAAATCCGCAGGGAAAATTTCATCTTTGGCTATTCGAACAATATCACCCACCTAAGAATTATGAGGAAAAGAAAATACATATTTTTTTAAAGCAAGAACTTATTTTGAGTGGATACAAAGTGATTTATTAATATATTAATGTAGGTTCTTAATTTAAGTATTAATATTAATGTAGGTTCTTAATTTAAAACCATGGTAGAGCCTGGCAACCTCCCCGTGGCGTATTCGATTTGCCAAAAGCAGTAACAACAAGTCTCACAATGGAGACGTTACTGGTGCCCGCTCGAGCAAAATGATGAACAACGGAGGACAGTGTTACAGTGCTACAGTGCTTAATTTAAATATTTATTTAACATGGAATTCTCTGATACTAAAATATAATTGATATCTATAATTAGTACCAAGTCCATACCCGAATGTTTTTTGATCTCGTTTTTACAAGGCCACCACTTCGAACCACATACACAGGGGCTCCATTTACTTCATTATCTGAGTTATGTCGTAACCAATCTTCATAACCCTATCAAAGAAAACAAAGAATAAGTAGACTTTTCGGTATAATGAGCAGATACTTTTTTTAAAAGAGAGAACAACTAGTATTTCCATGAAGCATTTCACTTACCAATTTCACTTCAATTGGGCACGGGGAACCATATAAGATGCCAGGGATCAAGCTCGGGTTGGCAGGGGCAAGGCAATCAATCATCTTAACCAACATCCTCTCCAACTTCCACAGGCACGTGATTCTAATTCATCTTACATACTACTATTAGATCAATCTTTCCAAATATTATTTAAATGCACTACTCTGTTCAAAATTCCCTTAGGAACTTGTACTGCTTACAGCAAAAATATCTTCCAGTCTCCTTAATTTAGAATAAATTGATATTTCCACTAATATCTTTTAGTACTTTCATATACTGTGCCAGACAGTCAGATACATTCCCCAAAACAGGGTCTGCCTTTTCTTGCAGTTGGCCCTTTGCCTTAATTGCTGGATTCTTCATCATCTTCTTGGCCAACTGTCATTTTACTCTATCTGAATACTCATCTTTAATGCTTCCTTTAGGAACCTTGATACCATACAGATGAAGTGTTCCACTCTTTCTCGGAACATCTACAGTTCACCGACTCTTACCACTATTTTACTGAATTATTCTAATCAAGTTGGTATTTGCATTCATATTCCCTATTTCACGGGTTTCATAGCTCACAGAGGGTAAAGACTATCATGCACCAAAGTCCAGTACCCTGCCAACTAGAAGACTTGATATGTAACAGGTTGGGAAGAAGTAAATAAAAACATCGCCAGTTCATTCATATTAAAGTACAGATAACTGATAATAAAGTCTTTTTCTATTTTGATAAAAGTACAAAGGGCAGAAGCTGACTTAAGGGTGGGGCAGGGAAAAAGAAAAGAGCTGGAACTTGAAAACTCTGACATGACTGGTTCTAAAGATCCAAAATTGATCCCAGTGATTTCTACTAACGGAGATATAAACCTGAAAAGCAGGGCGAGAGAGGGAGAGTACAGGGTTGCGTACATGCAGCTCACTCTGATTTGATGGATCTGGAACCATAAGAGCAATCCCGAGAATGGAGCAGGAGTAAGCCCTGAACTTCACACCCTCCATGTGCCCACCTTCCCCCCAAAAAAACCCTGAAAAACACACTGATGTAATCCGTTTATTAAATGAATAAAACATTCTCTTATCAACAAGAAAACTCTTGAGTACTTAAGCTGTTTCTGAAAGAGGATTCAAGTTCTCTCTCTGTAAAACTAAAGTTAGTACCTAAATGCACACTTGGAACTAGTTGCAATAGCAAGAATAATGCAGGTTTGAGGCATAATCTTCATGCTTTCTACCATTAAATTTCATGAATTTTTGAAGGTGATGGATTTCCAATTATTGTTTTAGTAACATCTCATAGTATAAGGTGTCTTATTTCAAAATATAAATTTACCAGCACCTTTTCAACTCAGGGCATTACTTTCCAATTAATCCCAGCCCATATTTAGCCAAATAATATTCTGGGAGACAAAGACAAGAAGTACTGTAATATTTTGTATTGCTTTAAAAATGCTTAATATTTTTTATTAAAAACATTACTCTATTAAACAAAATCTTTTAATTCATTCATCTATTGAACAAATATTCACTGAAGGTCCAAAACATGCAGGTCCTCGTCCTGATGACTGTAAATAAACTGGTATATGAAACAAAGTCTCTGCCCCATACAGCTTAATTCTTGAATAAAAGGCATTAGCCAATTATCATTTATTCAAATTGGAACAAAGAGAAATACATGAGATGGGCGAAAAAAAGAAGGAAATGAGGGGCTGAGAGATAGCACAGCGGGTGGGGCGTTTGCCTTGCACGCGGCTGACCCGGGTTCGATTCCCAGCAGCCGATATGGTCCCCTGAGCACCGCCAGGAGTAACCCTAGCATCCCATGTGGTCCCCTGAGCACCGCCAGGAGTAACTCCTGAGTGCAGTGCCAGGAGTAACCTCTGTGCATCGCTGGGCGTGACCCAAAAAGCAAAAAAAAAAAAAAAAAAAGGAAATGAGAGTGAAGGTGAAGAGACCAAGAAAGACTAAAAACACTCAAGTGAAAAAAAGTACAAACAACACATGTGTGCTAGAGTTTGAGGAATTTTTCAGAATACGTAAGATCTGAAAACCCTCAATCTATAAATGCCACTTCAAGATCCAACACTAGATAAACAGCTGAAACTATACAAAAGAGGTCCAAGAAGGACCAGAGTGATAATAGAGCGGGTAGGGCATTTATCTTCCATGTGGTTGACCCAGGTTCAATCCCACTGCACCCCATACGGTCCCCCAAGCCCTGCCAGGAGTGATTCGTTAGCTCAGAGCCAAGAGTAAGCCCTAAGCACCACTGAGTGTGGCCGGCCCCCAAACAAAACAAAGGTCCATAGGATAAATATGTGTCCTTTGGTGATATAAAAATACAAATAGCCTCTATCCCTCTCAGAAAGACTGGCAAGCTACCGAGAGTATTCCGCCCGCACGGAAGAGCCTGGCAAGCTATCTGTTGTGTATTCGATATGCCAAAACCAGTAACTACAACTGGTCTCATAAATAACTTGGAGGGCTGGAGCGATAGCACAGTGGGTAGGGCGTTCGCCTTACAAGCGGCCAACATGGCCGACCCGAGTTCGATTCCTCCGCCCCTCTCGGAGAGCCCGGCAAGCTACCGAGAGTATTCGATATGCCAGACACAGTAACAACAAAGTCTCCAATGGAGACGTTACTGGGCCCGCTCGAGCAAATCGACGATCAACGGGAGGGCCTTTACCTTTACCTTTACCCAACAAAATATGCAGTTATAGAAAGTGACTTGAATGTTTATTGATTTATGCAAATGTGACTCTCCAAAGAATAATGAAGAAAACAAAATGAGACTAAGAACAGGGCTGGATCATAGAGGGGTTAAGGCTCTTGCCATGCTTATGGTCAACCCCAGTTTGAATCCCAGCACTGGACACGGGCCCGTGAACATGAAGCTAGGAGTATTCCCTGAATACCACCAGGTATGGCACAAAGACCAATTGTTCAATCAAAAACAAAACAAAACAAAACAAAAATACCATCTTACAACAATAGAATGGTTACCTCTGACATATGAGATGTATAGTGTAACCATTAATCCATACTCTTAACTTGTGGGGGAGGGGGGCTGTTTGGGCCACACCTGGTGGCGTTCAGCACTTACTCCTCACTCTGTGCTCTGGGATCACTCCTGCAGGGCCTCAGGGGACCATATGGGGTACCAAGAGTCAACACAGGTCAGGCAATGCATGGCAAATGCCCTACCCACCGTACTATCACTCAGTCCTCTTCTTAACTTTTTTGTGTAATATATTTCATTTCAGAATTATGAAATGTTTGTCAATTTCATTTCCATGTCAATTTAAAAATTATCCCTAAATCTTATATATTTGAAGTTTGGCACAGTGAAAACAAGAAATTTCAATTAACTCTCTTTCAGAAGTAGTAGCGATAACACTTTGCATAAAAAAAAAAAAACACACAGAAAGTTATAAAGAAGGCACTGTACAATATTTATTCACAAATTTTCATGTAGAAGTATATTTTCCACTCTCGATGTAAACTATATTTCTTTTGAATTGTATTTATAATCTGTTTCATATAAAAATTGGTTTGTACACATATAATGCTTATTTTGAGGTACTTCCTGTCAAGAATTCCTGTACTCCCTTATCTTTACAATGGTAATCATTCTGAGTTACCAGGTACCCAAATTACAGGGTGGCTTAAATTTACCATATGCAGGATCACAAAATTTGCTTCTTTCTTACGTAAATTATTCTTATGACAATATTGTTACTTTAGAGTAGAACTATTTAGCAACTTCTGAATGACTTTCAAGAAAATAACAAAATAACATTTCATACCTGCTTTATGGCAGTAACTGTTATCACAAAGAATAACGGAAGTCCACTGGTAATTGGGCTGGTAGGTGTATCTATCATAAGCTAAGTTAAAAACAAGAATAAAGAATATGTTCTTATATTGTACACCTTACATTATGAATATCCAAAATATACATACTGGAAATTCTGAGAACAGTATTCAAACTATGCATCCCAGTTCAGAGTAAAACATAATAGGAAAAAAAAAGTATTACGCAGTGAAAATATAGCTTAATTCGTAGTTTAATCTCATTTTGTCGGCTATTACACTATAGTAGATAGAATGTTATTGACTGCATACCCACAAACATTGCTACAGCAGATGTGCTCTGCATTTTCTCTTTTTTTTCTCTGGCAGGGGTGGTGAGGAGGAGCAGTGTTGGGGACTACACCCAGAAATGCTCAAGTCTTACTCTTGTCTCTGTGTTCAGGATTCCGGGGACCATATGGGTACTGAGAGTTGAACCCAGCAGGCCCTGGTCCTGCCTGCTTCACTATCGCTCCCCTCCTTCACTCTGCCTTTTTTAACAAGAATATAGAAGGCCTTCTTTCTGTATTTGCCGAGCAATGGAGCTGCTCAGAATTTCAATTCATATTTGGCCATGCTGATAAATGCTGAAAAGGGTCTTTTCCACAAGTGACTTTGTTACATATAGTAAAGTCAGAGAGGTACAGCTGTGAAAATGATGCTAGTATTGCGAAGTCAGTGAGCTTCAACCACCTACCCACAGACTGGTGCCAGTCCAGGGGCTGAAAGACTGGAAGCCCTGGGTCCACAGGATGAGCCCTAAATGCCCATCCATGGATGGGTATGCAAAACAGGCGCTCGTCTGCAGGTATAAAAGGACTGATGAACGCTAGACTAGCATTCTATAAACTAGCATCCTCATACAGCTGAGATTATAATAAACTGCTACAGAAACAAATGGTTGTGATTATGTTTGGTTAGGCAGAGAAGGAATCTAACTGATTTATTAACGTCTGTTTACTCTGAATAGGTCAAACAAGTTTGTTCTATTCCAGGTAAGTTGAATTCCTGATCGAAGCTTTTAAATTCACAAAAAGGTGTGTTAGGTGGACCTGGTTAGTACAAATTTCTTACTTTTCAGAGAATACCAAACTGACATCCAGTAGATAGAAAATCAGACGTTCCTTCTCTGTCTAAAAAATAGTTTCCCTTTTTACCAGTAAATACTTCCTCAAAGTATTTTTATGTAAATGTTTTATTGGACTTGAGGCTTCATGGTTCTTATCGTATTAATATTAATAATTTGGATACAAAGTCATTACACCTTCACCAATACTGAAATACTTTAAAATACTTTAAAAGTGATAACTTCCTTTTCTTTTCATTTAAAAAACCTGTTCCTAGTGAGAGAAAAATTCAATTTACACAAGAAATTTGATGCTAGGACTAGAGATAAAGCTCTGCTCTGAGTCCATCCCTGGTACCATGTGGCACCCTGAGTTGCCAGGCACTGCCCTGGGGTCCCCAGCAGGGGACCATAACAATCAACACCAAGAAACAAACAAAAAGGTACCACAGAAAACAACCTCTTTCAAAAAAAATGATAACTATGATGACTACGTTTTTATTAAATAAATGTTACTGTTGGAGAATCCCTGGCAGAACTCCAGGTTGTCAGGGTCACACCTAGTAATTCATACTCAAAAAGTCTGATTTGGTGCCAGGGACAAGTCTGGGGCCCCACACAGGCCAAGCCTGTGCCTGGTCACATGAGCCATACTCCTGGCTGCTGAAATCAGGATTTTGAACTCTTGACTTATTCAAGAATACCTAAGCTCTTTCTCTTGGTATTTTGATGTTAGGGAAAAAAACATAAGGTAAAAATTAGAAATGTTGGGGCTGGAGAGATAGCACAGAGGGTAGGGCGTTTGCCTTGCACATGGTTGACCCGGGTTCGATTCCCAGTATCCCATATGGTCCCCTGAGCACCGCCAGGGGTGACTCCTGAGTGCAGAGCCAGAAGTAACCCCTGTGTATCGCCAGCTGTGACCCAAAAAGCAAATAAATAAATAAATAAATAAATTAGAAATGTCAAGCAGATTACTATCGGTTCATAGTTTAGCTAAGAAGTAATTGATATACGATGTCAAAATTTATACTCCAGTAAATTTTTTAAATTTGAGAAGAAAAAATTTAAGTAATAGCTTAATTAAAAGCTAAAGAAATATTTTACTTGCAAGGCCTTTGAAAAATAATGTTACTTTTTTGGGCTTCGATTTTGGTTATCAGCCAATACTGAAAGTAATCAGCAATAGTGAAATAGTGAAATCAGTAAGCAGACAAAATGTAACTAACATTAGAATTCATATGCAGTACTTTAGAAATACAGGTGAGGCTGGCAGTTTAAACTGTTTTCCACTCAATTCAGTGGGGAAGCTCTGAAAAAAAGTTCCATAGCTGAGTGATTTAGAATGCAATAGAACTTGTAAACTTACCTGAACCAAAAATATAATAAGAAAATAAAAGTTTGCCACTCTTCTGAATTGTTCAAATAAATTTTTTGGAACAAAATTCCACACAGTATACTAAAAAGAGAGAGAGAGAGATAAAAATGAATAGTTAAAGATAATATATAATGAATAATTATAGTAAGAAAAAATTATATTTGTTAAACCCTTAGACAAATTCATATAAACCCAAATCATACTTTGTAGTATTTTGTGTTTATTAAGTAACAAATTTACACAATCCTTGCTGCCTGAGTTTCAGGTTTCATATCCTACTCTTTTTTTCTTTCTCCTATAATTGAATCATAGAAGATTCAAATTATAATTCAAATGATAATTATACTAAATTATACAGTATTTAGAACAACTTTTTAAGTGAGATTAAACTAGAAACTATTAATTTTGCTGCTGAGTTCTGAAATTTCATATAAATTGGAGATAGCAATCTAAAGCATTTTAACCATTCATTTTGGACATCATTTATACAAACCAGATTTATGCTGAAGATAATCACAAGTCAACAAAAATGCTGATACAAATATATTTTATATACTATATATCTGTTAGAGGGGCTGGAGCGATAGCACAGCGGTAGGGCGTTTGCCTTGAATGCAGCCGGCCTGGCTGAGCCGGGTTTGATTCCTCCGCCCCTCTCAGAGAGCCTAGCAAGCTACCGAGAGTACCTCGCCTACAAGGCAAAGCCTGGCAAGCTACCTGTGACTTATTCAACATGCCAAACATAGTAACAACAAGTCTCAAAATGGAGACGTTACTGAGCCCGCTTGAGCAAATCCATAAACAATGGGAGGACAGTGACAGTGATATCTGTTAGAAACAGTATAATTATGATTTTTTTTAACTATGGAAAATGGAAAAATAATCTAAAATATGATAAAAAGGTTAAAATAAAAATCTTTAGCTAAGTGATTACCAGTATAGCCACTAAGAAAAATGCCCTGAAGGACATGAACTATGTCCAAATATTAATTTTTAAAGTTAGAGAGCAGAGCAAAATGGTTAAGAACAGATGATAAGGGGTTAACTGCTGTGAGCTAAATCCTAATCCGAGGTCACTGAATAACCTTGGATTTAATCCTGCTGCCCCATTTTCTAGCTTTTATAGAAGCACTGAAGACAAACCTGGCTCATATGAACTGCCACCTCTGGCTTTTGTTATTTTAGTAAATAGCCCATAACCCTATACTGCTGGTTTCTAGGTGCAGAGCAATATAGTATATATTTCACTCATATCACTTCTGCTCACAACTTCATATATAAAAAATAAAGGACTTTATAATAGTCTTACTTCACCATTGCATAGTGTCTCACTGAACTGCAAAATACCTTAGTCTAGAAACACTGTCTGGTTTACCGCTCTATCTCCAGTACTTATACTACTACTACAGCTGAGGCTCAAACCTTTAGCAAAAGAACTAAATGAACGAATAAAATAGCAATGACAAAAATTTTCGGATAATTACCGGGGTTATCAGGCAATGATGTGTCAACAGCTCTGATCACTTAAAAAGATTTAAAGAGGTAGTTTACTTAATTATCTCTGGGGCCATGCCAGATGGTTCAATATTGTGAATTAAAAAAATATATATTTACTCTATTTAAACTTTTCTTATTTTTTAATTTTGGGTGATACCCGGCTGTGTTCAGGGTTTACTCCTGGCTCTATACTTGGGGGTTACCCCTGGCAGGCTCAGGTGACCATAATGGGATGCTGGGGATCAAACCCTTGTCAGCCGCATTCAAGGTAAGCATTCTATCCACTATACTATCACTCCAGTCCTCAGAAGCAACTTCTGAGCACCGAGCAGGTGTGCCTCTAAAGCCATAAAATTACTGCTTCATAACCAGTTTGAGACCTGAAATAGCCTTTCTCATACGAAAGATTTTATAAACAGGCTTAGGATATCAGAAGGGTCTACAAAAGTCTATTTGGCCCAAAGGGAGAAAGGTCAGACTATATTTTCAGTTCTAATCTGAGATACCTAAAACCTGTGTTTGATTTTCTCGAGGTAAAGGCAGCAGCAGTAGCAGCAGCAACAGGATCTGGGAATGGAAATTATGTCTGGGACTTCCTGGAGCCAAAAGAAGTTGCACCTCCACGTTTGCATACCAAATCAACCAACCCCCCCGCCCCCACCAGCTGATCTTAACTTGAGGAAAGGTAAGTCAGAAGACTAAGATTAACGTACGACTTTCTCAATTTCCAAACCAAACTTAAAACTTTGTAAGAATTAAGTTGGCAAGATACTAAGTTCAGACCAGTCTATTTAAATCATAACAATGACAATATATTTTGTCTACCAGAATCTTGACAAGAACACCTAGATAAACTGGCAGGAAGGTAAGTAGTTTCAAGGTATTTTCTTTGAGAAGTTCAATAACACAGTGGGGAGCTCAGGAAAAAAATGAAAGACTTCTTGTCAAAACTAGTTTATAAACGTTAGGAATTGTTCACCAATTTTCTGAAATACAATCTCGCAGCAGACTGTGTAAGTATAGACTTTGTGCTTTCTTAGGTGAATATGTAGGATGGTGCTAGTGTTTGCTGTAATAATATTAAGCACTAAAATGTGTCTAAGGAAAGCAGTTTATTGTTATAAAATCATTTTAACTCTGTGTAATGATCAAGGCAAATGAATTAAAATCGTGATTTCCTGGGGCCAAGGACTGGCAACAGAGTTAAACTGCCACAAGTTCAAGGCCAGGCACCACCCTCAAAAATAAAGTGTCATTTTCCCATAGTTACATAGAACTTTTCTGTAGTTACACAGCATCATGCAGTGCTAGGTGCTGAGCATTCCTGGGCATGAGCTCTGAGCACAGAGCAAGGAACAGCCACCCTGAGAACTAGCCGGTGTGCTCTCTTGCAAAACATAGTACCCAAAAGAAGAGAGAGAGAACAAGGGCGAATTCCCTGGCACAGAGGCAGGGTGGGACGGGGGGATGGGGGTGGGGGGGATGCTGGGACCCGTGGTGGTGGAGGGTGGGCACTGGTGGAGGGATGGGTACTTGATCATTGTATAATTGAAACCCAAGCACACACAAAAATTTATAAGTCTATAACTGTACCTCATGGTGTTTCACTAATAAAAAAAAAGAGAAAAAAAAGAACTAGCCGGTGTGACGAAAAAAAAAAAAAAGAAAATTTAAGAAAGAAAAGTAGAAAAGAAAAAAAAAAGAAATTTAAGTTTAAGATAAGTTTAATTTCTTTTAAAGAGTAAAAGAAATTTAAATTTAAGAAAAACAAAGAAATTCAAGTTTAAGATAAGGTACTTACTATGGTAACTGGTAAAGTAAACAAAGGCATGTCAACTATATACAATGAGAAAGATACCTGCATTTTAAGAGGAATCAAAAAAGTGTAATAATAGGGGCTGGAGCAATAGCACAGTGGGTAGGGCGTTTGCCTTGGGTTCGATTCCCAGCATCCCATATGATCCCCCAAGCACCGCCAGGAGTGATTCCTGGGTGCAAAGCCAGGAGTAACCCCTGAGCATCGCCGGGTGCGACCCAAAAAGCAAAAAAAAAAAAAAAAAAAAAGTATAATAATAAATAATTGATTTGCTCGAGCGGGCCCAGTAACGTCTCCATTGGAGACTTTGTTGTTACTGTGTCTGGCATATCCAATACTCTCCGAGAGGGGCGGAGGAATCGAACTCGGGTCGGCCATGTTGGCTGCGTGCAAGGCGAACGCCCTACCCGCAGTGCTATCGCTCAATAGGTAAGAACAAAAGATCAAGAGCTGTTCAAAGATAAAAATAAATGAATATAATCATAAGGGAAAATTTTATGATTTAAAAACTTAATTAAAAGTGACATATTGACATAGGTTTTTAAAAGAAACATTTAACAGGTGGAAAATAGGAAGTGAAATAAGAGAGAACATTTCGGAAGGTGGGCTAGCATAACAAGGCAGAAAGAGAGGAGCAAAGTTTAGCACAGTTTTGTAGGACTAAGATAATGAAGTATGAAAGCAGACAGAAGAAGAAAATAAGAAGTACACCTCCTTTATAAAAAGGCAAAAATTTGACACTGTCTAGAAATATGTATCTGTCTATACTCTTGAAAATTATGATCAAAAACATGAATTCTACAAAAGACAAAATCTATAATCTCTGTAAAAAATTTATATTTTCAAAACTGTGGCTATCTACATAAAACTATGGCAAATGAAGAGTATAAAAAATGAACTTATGAAACAGCAGGTTAGAGATGATTTAGAAAGTTTAAGAAAGCAATAGTAAAAGAAAGAAAAGTGAAGGGGCCAGAAAGGAAACAGGGCTTAAGGACGTGGCCAACCCTTTTGACTGCCAGTACCTGGATATGGTCCCAGAGACCCTGAGAACTACAGATATGGCCTGGGTAATTCCAGGCATCACTGGCCCCTCACAGGACCACATCCTTGGGCCTTCACGATGAACCACCAGCTAGCCTGGCTGGCTGAGAGCCACAGGACAGGGCCATGAGCTTCCTGCGCACCACTCAGAACATGCCACACTCACCATAATTCAAGAGTTCTTCTAATGTTAGTAGATTCTGATAGCTCCCCTTTCCTTCTCTCTGCTTTAGAAACAGCGTCCAAAGTGAGATATGTCACTAATAGGCACAGTGTATATGTAAATAATGTGATGACTACAGACAGAAGCAAGGCAAAAAGAATCAGAGGTCTAAGACATGATCCTCAGGGGGAAGATGAGCTCCAGATCAGAGGAAAATATGAAGATGCTGCAAAGGAGGAAGGTGATTGTAACGCACAGATTCTTCTCTAGGTGGTCTATTCAGCAACAATTCAATCAAAGGAGAACATTACCCTAAATTGCTTTCACTGACATCCTCTTTCCAAGAGGATAACCATTAGCCACAAGTAGCTACTGGCATTTAAAATAAATTTTAAAATTAAGTTTTTCACTTGCACCAGCTCATTTTCAAGGCATGTGTATATCTATTACCCACTATGTGGAAAATCATTGGGCAGTATGGAAAATATATTCCATGAGAGAAAAGTCTGTTGGGCTATTGGCCAACATTACTCTAGGATCTTCAGTTTCAAAAGAAAGGGTTTTTTTTTGGGGGGGGGGGGGGTGAGCAGGGCAATAGCACAGTGGGTAAGGCACATGTCTGCATCAGATGACTCAGGCTCAATCCCTGGCAACCCTTACAGTCCCCCAAACCATCCAGGAGTAATCCCTGAGTACAGAGCCAAGAATAAGCCCTGAAAACCTCCAGGTATGCCTCACTCCTGGGAGAAAGTAAAGAAAAGAAAGTCCTCTTTAAAAAGCCACAGGGAAAAAATGAAACAAGGAAGTCATAGAATTTTGGTACTATTAAATGTTTACAGGAGAGTGATAACACTGGAGGAAGTCAGGTGACCCAGGGGTTCAAAATCCAGTATCAGCATTGCCTAGTGTGCAATTCTGATAAATTATTTGCCAGAATTTCAATGGAAGAAACTGGTATGAAATTTGCATTTACTTTATAAAAGCTATCAAAGTTGTTTTAAGGATTATATATTATACCAATGCATATGTCATTTAGCATAGCTTCTTAATTTAGTTGCTACTAAGGTTAATTTTTTAGAATTTTGGCTGAGACTAGCAATTGGCTTTATATAATTCACAGTCTCGTTAATATAAATCTACAAACTACAATGTCTTTATACTGTTAGGGCTATACATGGATAGTAGGTTACAAACAAATCACTTCTTAAAATGAATAGTAGATATCTCTACTTTTAATAGTAAAAATGTTCATTCTTACCTTAGATGAAATGATCCGATTATCTATAAATTTCTGAGGTGTGTAAAGGCCATTCTGAGGAAATCTGTTGGCTATGTAAATAGTTCTCGTGTCACTTTGATGGGGTGGGTCAAAACCCTAAGACCAAGCAAAAAAAAAAAGGGCAATACGGTCAACAAGATTATTTATGATTCTTTTCATATATTTGCTCGAGCGGGCCCAGAAACGTCTCCAATGTGACACTTGTTACTGTGTTTGGCATATCAATACATCACAGGGAGCTTGCCAGGCTTTGCCGTGCAGGCGAGATACTCTCGGTAGCTTGCTGGGCTCAAGCAAATCGGTGAAGAAAGGGAGGATAATGACAGTGACTTTTCATATATTAGTTGATTAGATTACACGTTCTGCCGGTTGTAAATTGCCTAGAGTCAGTTTATTTAAATATTAGGAGTAAAGACCATAGAGAAAACTGGTACATTGTCTCAGATATGAATTTTAATACTGTGATTAAGAAGACAAATATATTTAAGTGATCAAATGTATTTCTTGCACTTATTTGGTGTTTATAGCTCCCACATCTTGGAAATTCTAAAATTGAGAGTGTTCAGGTGTCTTTTGTTAACATTAATAAAAATAACCTTTGAAAAAACATCTAAAGGGGAAAAAAGTATAAGTCCCAATATATCTGAATCAACTGACTGAAAGTAGATGATTTCATCAATCTGACCTATATGATAAAAACCAAAGGGAAGGGCTCCAAAGATTTTCTAGTTGGTGATCACAAGGAGATTTGGGAAGAGAGAACCTTGGAGAGTGCATAAAAGTTCTGTACTTCCCCCCAACTTCTGCGCCCACTCCCCACAAACTCCTGCCTCCGTACTGAGCTCTAAGCATTTTCCAACCAGGCTATTCTTAAAGAACTGCTTATTCTTGGATAACTGGTGATCCTTGTGATCTGGTAAGTAAATGTGGTTTTCTGAGCATGATGATATGTTCTAGCAAATTAATCAAATCTGGATGTGGATGGGGGGGGGCAGGGTGATGTCACTGGAACCTCCGATCTGAACGAGTTGATCAGAAGGACATGTACCAATCAGAGCCCGTAGCTGTCCTTGGAGGTGGATGGTGGTCTTGGAAGACAACATCCAAAACCCAGAGAATCTGATGCTCTTTCTGGGAAGACTAAAAATAGCTTGACGGTAAGAGAAAACCTCTACACACTCTCACACACGAGTCACTGCACAAAAACTAACCAGGGAATGTAACACCCTTGGCATGAAGAGCCTGTACTCTGTCAGAAGTGCTACCCCACGATTAAAAAAATAAATATGGGGGGCTGGAGCGATAGCACAGCGGGTAGGGCATTTGCCTTGCACGCAGTCAACATGGCCAACACAGGTTCGATTCCCAGCATCCCATATGGTCCCCCGAGCACCGCCAGGAGTGATTCCTGAGTGCATGAGCCAGGAGTAACCCCTGAGCATCACTGGGTGTGACCCAAAAAGCAAAAAATAAATAAATAAATAAATAAATATGGGGCTGGAGTGATAGAACAGCGAGTAGGGAGTTTTTCTTGCACGCGGCTGACCCGGGTTCAATTCCCAGCATCCCATATGGTCCCCCGAGCACCGCCGGGGGTAATTCCTGAGTGCATGAGCCGGGAGTAACCCCTGTGCATCGCTGGTATGACCCAAAAAGCCAAAAACAAATAAATAAAAAAATAAAATAAAACATACAGATCTAATGAACAATACTTATGGACAAGGTTTCTTCTCTTTCACTCCTGAAGGTTTCTTGCCTTTCCCCTGGCAAAGATTCCTAGTGCATGTCCAAAATCCTATTGCAAACAACTTAGAAAATCACAGGTGTCTAAATAAAAATCTTAAAAGAAAACAACAAAATTTATACTCAGAGATGCCAAAACCAGGAGAGCCACAGCCAAGCCAGCATCTAGCACATCTGATGAAGTTTATCCATAGCAACTAGGTTTCAAAGAGCTTTGTTTCCTAAGTACTTATAATTCACTGGGCAAGCAAGATCTTGCCCAGATTGCTTCAATACAATCATCTATTTGTGCTAGTCACAATATCAATTGACTCCCTGAAATATAAACATATGCTATAAATTTCTCATCTCAAATTTAGATTAGTTCTCAAAGTATATTTAGTAATAATTTCAAATGGAAAAAGTATCACTGTGATAAAAATACTTTTATATTTTGTTCTTATAGTATTGAGCTCTTTTTTTCCAGGGTAGCAAGCAAATCTTTAAGACTTCTTTAGTAACTTTCTGAAAGCCCATTATAGGCTGAAAGCAATCACCAACATCAGGGATTTTGTTTTGATCCTAATAAGCAATGATTTGGGGCCTACGCAAAAGTAAAGCAGATAAGGTATTGCCTTCCACGGGGTCGGCCTGGGTTCAATCCCCCACATCCCATATAGTCCCCTGAGCACCACCAGGAGCACTCCCTGAGTATACAACTAGGAGCAACCCCTGAGCATTGCTGAATGTGACCAAAAAGTAAAAAATAAATAAACAAAAACCTAACAAGTAATGATTTAATTTTTCTTAGATTTGGGAGCTAGGGCTAGAGCGATAGCACAGCAGGTAGGGCGTTTGCCTTGCACGCAGCAAACATGGCCGATCCAAGTTCGATTCCACTGCCCCTCTTGGAGAACCCGGCAACCTACTGAGAGTACCTCGCCTGCACGGCAAAGCCTGGCAAGCTACCCATGGCATATTCAATATGCCAAACACAGTAACAAGAAGTCTCAAAATGGAGACGTTACTGGGCCCGCTCGAGCAAATCGATGAACAACAGGAGGATAGTGACAGTGACAGATTTGGGGGCCAGGAAGATAGTGCAGTGGGTAAGGCATTTGCCTTACACATGGTCAATCTGGGTTCGATCCCCAGCATCCCATATGGCCCGAGTCTGCCAGAAGTGAGCCCTGAGCGCAGTCAGGAGTAATCTCCGAGCACAGCCAGGTGTGTCCATGGCCCCAAAACAAAAACTATTTTTTTTTTTTTAAATTTTGAGGCCAGAGTGATATCACAGCAGGTAGTGGCCAACCTGGGTCTGATCCCTGGCATCCCATAGAGTCCTCCAAGCCCTGCCGGGAATAATTCCTGAGTGCAAAACCAGGAGTAACTCCTGAGCATCACCGCCATGTGCCACCCCGCCAAATCAAAACAATCATAATGAAATTTCTGAGATTTTCAATTTTTCATCATACTCAGGGGCTATTTATAGTACTACTATATTGGTTAAAGGCCAAGTAATTCATCAATAAGATAAAATTCACTTTTAGATATTACGAAGAACTCTAACTTAGCAATCTACGCAGTCAAATGGCAGCCACTGCATCCTTGGTAGCTCTGTCAAGTGCCCACTCCGCTTAGGCGCACTCAGTGGAGATTCCCATACTGCCTAGAGGGACCCTCCTTTTAGCCTATCAGAATATTAGCAGTGCTATGCATCGTTTTCAACTGCTATTATTATTCTCGGTTCTAAATTTTTAATTTTGTGATCTTAGAAATAGCTCGTATAGGGCTGTACCAATTAAATGCGCTTGTACGCTCAATAAAAACAACACACAGTTTGGGGGTTGGGGAGGCAGATCCAAAGGCGTTTGCTTCGCATGCCCAGGTTCAGTTCCTGGCACCGCATGGCCTCCCAACCCCCACTGGGAGTGACTCCTGAGCTCCACTAGGTCCCACAACTCAAACTGAATAAAAGCCATCAAGTTTAATCTTGTTGGTGCTGTTTGTAGCGATGACATTTTGTGGATGTGGCAGTATGTGAAAAATCAGCCTCTATGGGGCAGGAGCGGAAGGTGAAGAGCTAGAGCACATGGCTAGTGAGTGGCAAGGCCCTAAATTTAATCCCAGGCAATGTACGCAGGGTCCCTCCCTCCTATCCCACCCGCCACGGGACCTGGAATACTGGGCAGGGGCTCTGCCCTGATTTCTAAAAAATGAGCCACTGTATATTTTCAAAATCAGTTTCTTCAAGGATAACATACGGTAACATGCATATTTATTTCCTCATACATTTTCTTTTAAACATTTCACTATTGTACCCTAGTTATATCTCACTGGGGTAGAAAAGAGCAGGTCTCAAAACCAGATTTGAAATTATTGCACTATCTGAAACATCACAATCATCTTAAAGATACAATTTATTCAACATCTATCTATGGACTTCAAGTACTGTCTTAAAGTACAAAGGACTACGTGTGTTGTTATACACTCAAGCAAATCATAACATACTCAACTCAGTAAACAAATGAACAATGTGAATCACACATTGTATTTAAAAGGGTTAATAGAAAGTCTGCCTGTAAAGCTCATTAAGTTCTAGGAGGAAAAAAAGAGGTAATTAGAATGTTAGACTGCAGGAGGTATATTTACTCAGCGTCCACTTATAACCATGCTAATATAACAGAAGGAACACACCAATCATGTGCATTTATGGAATAATTTTCAATTAATACCGAGGTTCAGGAAGATATATATATTCTTTTTTTTTTTTCAAGAACCTAGACAACAAGACAAAGCTACTCTGTTTCCCACTAAGATTGCAATTCATCGGTATATACATCTAAAGTTAAGAAACAAAAGCAAAATAAAGACCCACCCAAAATGTATCTCTCTCTCCTCTCCCCCATCCCCAACCTTGAATGAACTTTCTAGGAAGCAAATGCTTCTCATTTTCCATTCACCTCTACTGAATGATTTGAATCAATGAGCACATACCAAGAGTTTCAAATTTCTGAAAATTCTAACAATTACTTCAAAGGGATACATTCAAATATTCAAAAAATGAAATGTTTTAAATACATTTCGAGGGATCCTCATTTAAAATGACAGGAACCAGGGAGAGTTGAGTTGAGGAGTCAGAGTCTTATGCTGGCATGTACCACACCGCCCCAGCATTGCCCTGTGTGGCCCTAAGAGCCCCCAGCACCACTTGGCCGGAGCAGCACCGCATCGCCGGGTCTGAGCATAGCTGGCTGAGTATACGGGGAGTGGCTCCCAGACCTCCAGAACTCCACTTGAGAGAATCTCCCCCAAATCAAGTACAATCTTGTAAGAATAATGATGTTTGCCCTTATCCCCTGGGCTGGAGCGAT